GGCCAGCCGGGACCCGCAGGGTCAGCGGCTGAGGCTTCGGGGCCCACAGCGGGAGGGAAGGGCCAGGACGCCAGACCAGGCAGGGCCAGGCGGGTCCAGGCCTCAGCACGGGAACCGCAGCAGGGCCAGGACCCCGGGGCCAGGGGCCGTGGCCACCCTCCCCGCGGCCCCCCGTGGTGCCCAGCCCGACGCGGGCTCCGGGCTCACCAGCTCCGCTTGTTGTCAAAGAACAGCACCAGGAACAGCTTCTCGTCCGCCTTGGTCTGCATGTGCTCGCCGATCTTCAGCACATCCAGGGGCGGGGCGGGGATGGTCACCCCATTGTGGTGGCCAGGCACTCGCGGCATCTTGGGGTCGATGATCTGCAGAAAGCAGGAGCCGGTCACGCGCAGGCGGCCGCCGGACCCGGCCCGACCGGAGCGGGTCTCCTGGAGCCGCTGACACCGCCCGGCCCTCCTGCACCCCCCGCACCCCGGCACGGGCACAGGGCCCAGGCTCCGGCCCCCGCCGCCGCTCACCAGGGCCGGGTAGGAGGGGTAGCCGCTGCACTTGGCCCACACGACTTTCAGAGGCTCGAGGACCGAGGCCGCAGCATCCGTCGAGATCCACATGCTGCTCTGACCGACTTCTGGGGGGAGAGAGTGGGGGGCGGTGAGCGGCCTGGAGGGGCCGGCCGAGCCAGCGCCTCCCCGGAGCTTCCTCAGCCCCCTGCCAGACTCGAGGGCCCCGGCCTCCAGCTCCCTCCAGCCTCGCCCTGAGCTCCCCTGCCCGGGTCCCAGAGTCGGCCCCGGCACCCCACAACTGGCACCCCAAATTCAGGCCACAGCCCGGGCTCCCTGGGCCAGGCTCCACCAGCTCTGCCCTGCACACGCCTGGCGCGGGGGCCGGCTGCTCCCCAGCCCCTCACAGGGAGGACGGCGTCTCCCCGAGGTCTCCCTGCCCCGTCGCCTCCCCGCCCTGACCTGGCCCTCAGCCGGCCGCCCAGCCCAGGCCCTGCCCGGGCCGCCCGCCCACCTGCCGCGATCCTGGCCGCCCGGGCGTAGTCCCCACTCTCGATGCAGGAGATCAGCTGGCTGCGGTCCTCCAGCGTGTGCCTGCGCACCAGCGCCGGCTTGCCCCGCCCGCACTTGGGGGCGCCGAGACTGCAGGGGAACAGGGCTGGTCAGGGCGGGCTGTCGGCGGGCTGGGGCACCCCCCGCCCCGGGACAGGGCACCCACCTTGAGTCACAGAGCGGGCCGCTGCTGGAGGACAGGCTGGACTCCGAGGCACAGCGCCGGCGGGGAGTGGCCTTCCTCCCTGGGGCGCCGCCCAGCTCCTGCTCGCTCCGTGCACCCCCAAAGCCATTGGTGAGCCCTGCAACACAGACGGTGGCCCCGGCTCAGCACCTCGGCCGCCCGCCTCCCGCCGTCCTGCGCAGACCTGCCCGCACCCGAGAAGGCCGGAGCCCTCCAGCG